TATCCTGAGACCCTGTACCTCAGACTGTAGATCCTTTGTCAGTGTCAGCCATGTGGATGAGTCATGGCCATTGCTTGGCCAATTTGCTGTCTGTGAAAGCCTGAGAGAATGTTTTCTCTCCATGTGACTCTCCTTGGGCACACTCTACATACATCATCGATCACTTTCCTCTTTGGCCCCATAATCTCCTTGATCAGAAAATTTGGGACACAACTGAGTTACATGATGTTATAGTACAAGTTCTCATATGTCCTGAGTCTTAAATTGACCTTGGAAGGCTAGGGCCAGAATGTTGGCTTTCTTTGCAGCCCTCCTTTTTCTCTAATTTTGGTCTGTAAACTTAGGTTGTTAATCCTCCAGAAGAGAAGCTTATTGTTATTACCTTATAACGTAGGCTATTGAACTTAACCTCACTATCTGAATATCAAACGTCTTAGGCATAACGTGGAACAGGTATTTTTCATGAAGTATTGATATATTAAGCTTTAAGTCCCTACAGAATATGACAAAAAAAATTAGAAAATTAAACTATATTTGAAAAATAGGAATAAAGAATTATATATGTTTATACATAAGTCCAGAAATCTAACCATATACAGTATTGTTGCAGGACAGTTCCGCAACACTCCTTTTCCTGTCCCCTACCTTCCCATGTTGCTCTTGAGAGACTGAACTGGGAGTAACCCAGACATTAAAGTCCGCAGTACAGGAGTGGTGACCCCCGCCTGTAATCTCAGCACTTGGAAGGCTGAGGCAGGAGGATCACCAGGAGTTCAAAGCCAGCCTGGGCTACATAGTGAGACCCTACCTCAAGAAATTAAAAAAAAACGGTCACCTCAGGTTGCTGATATCTTGAGTTCCCAGGTCAAGGCAGGAGGACCTGGTGTACTGCGGAGGAGAAGTGCGGGCTCTGGCACCCCTTTGCTGCCACCCCAACAGCACTCCTGGGCCTTCCCTGGATCCACTTCCCACTTCCCCTTCAGCCTGCTTCCCTGTTGTCCCATTAGGGCATCTGAGCTCTGGTGTCTGCTGGGTTTCGGGCCAGGCTACCTGCTGCTCCGTGAGCCCTGCTCATTCTGAGGATGCAGCTGTGGCCTATGCAGGCCACAGTGTTGGGAAAGCTGCATAGGGCAGAACTCTGTTCTTAGGAGGTCATTGCTGATGCCAGGCCATGTGTGGTGTCACTGCTGGGTCACCTCACCCAGATCTGAGCCATTCCCTGGGTGCTAAGCCAAGGGGCCGAGGGACACCCAAGGGTGCCATCCCCAGGCAGATGGCAGCAGGAGCCATGACCTGGATTTCTGTTTTCCCTGCAGGGCCGCTCCATGCGGCACCCTAGGCCTCAACGACATCGCCAATCCCAACTACATTCCCTTTGGGCAGCCTGTGCGTGTCAAGCTGACCATGTCCCCATCGCTGGACCAGCCACTTCCGGCCTGGAGCTATGACCCACTGCCCAAGGACTCCTCCCTGGGGCCGGTGAGAGGGGACAGCCCTCCCACACCGCCCTCCCAGCCACCACTGTCACCCAAGAAGTTTTCCTCTGCCCCAGCAAACAGGGGCTCCTGCCCCAGGGCTCAGGAGTCGAGGTGAGCAGTGCTATCACTCCGCCTGCAGGGTATACCCTCGCGTGGCCTCCAGAGGACAGAGCTGGGTGGCGCCCTCTGCTGGGTCCTAGCCAAGTGGTGCAGTGTGCTTTAGAAAGGGGCTGTAGGAATGTTTGGAGTTGCTGCCAAGCAAAGCAACTTCCTTTAAAAACTATATTTGCTTTAAAAAAAACCCTCTACATTTGCTGAAAACTGCATTTCTAGACCCACTGAAGCCCTGGGCATTGCTCGGCCCCTGCGTGGCCCTCAGACAGGGGTACGGGTTTCCCTTGGGCCCTGGCCTCCTTCCTAGCCTGGAGGAACTCTGCTCCCATATGCAGTTCTCAGTCTCTGGGGCATTCAAGGCAGGAAGGCCGGGACCAGAGGTCCAGTCCAGAGTGGGGCTTGGGCATCCCCCCACCTTTGGAGCCCAAGTCCCAGTGCATTAAGGCATGAAAAGCAGTGTGGGCACTGTCTCGACTGCGAGGAACAAACACTCGGCTACTTTTTCATTTGTTTAATTTCGAGACTGCAGTCCAAATTGTGACCCTCCTGCCTCAGCCTCTTGTCTTTACTGTTTTACAGTGATGTGGTACATTCGCTCTGGGCTTTGTCTTGTGCTATGTTTTCCCTTCTCTCTCCTTGGGGTCTTGAGTGATGTGTCAGAAGCCACTGTCCTCCAGCCTCTTGAGCTCAGCCCGCTGCTGCCAGCCTGGCTGGGGCTTCTCAGGCTGGAGAACCAGAGGTGGTTTCGTTCCTGAAGCTCTTTCCTTTGGCAGATGAAGGGCGGGCAGGGTGGGCTGGGATATCAAGGATACCCCCAGCTCTGCGCAGCTAGACCACTTCTCCAAGAAACACTGGAGGAGAAAACAGCCTCAACTTCCTTCCCAACAAAAACAAGAACAGCCGGACACAGTGTTGCACACTTGTAATCGCTGTATCCTGGAGGCTGAGGCAGGAGGAGCTCTGCAAATTCTGCCTGGGCTGCACAATGAGTGCAAGGGCAACCTAACTTACACAGTGAGACCCTGTCTCAAAACCACCCCCCAAAAAACACTCCTAGAAATGTCAAGGCCTCAAACAGACAGGAAGACCGCCCCCTCCCATTCCCCACCTAGCTGGATCCTCAAGACCTGCCATGGCAGGAGGGGACTCAGCCGTGACCCAAAGTTCTCGGATGGAGGAAGAGGCAGAGGAGACAGAAGCACCCTGGCTGCCCCTTGAGTGGGGAAATGGGAGGAGGGTCCCCAAGAGTAGGGCAGGGCCAGGGCACAGGATTTTGTGATTCCAGAGCTCATTTCAGCTTGGCCTTGAACTCATGGTGATCCTCCAGCCTCAGCCTCGGGAATACTAGGATGACAGGCATATGTCACCCCACCCCATCCCTGGAGCCCACACTTATACTCCCAGGAGCCGAGGGGCCCTGGCTATACAGGAACAAAGGCCATGCTTCCCCGAGACAGGTTCATGGCCAGGCACCCCCTTCGGTCAGCAGAACACTGTCCTTGGCCAACAGGAAAATATGCCCCCTCCTCATGCCCATGAGCGGTTCGGCAGGAAGTAAGAGCAGCACTAAGTCAGAAAACAGCCAAGGCAGCTCTTGCCCTTGGTTACGCGCAGCAGTTTTTCCTCCGCCCACAGGCCTGACGTGCCCTTCACTTACCCTGGCTTTGCCCTCGGGTGCCTGTGTCTGTCCATGTCCCCTCTGGCTTTTATCTCAACCACTCCACTGTTTGCTCCTTCCAGTGCAAAGTTATGTGACAAAGGAATCCCTTCCAGGGAGGGGGCTTTGTGATACTGTCAAGCCAGTAACACAAGTACAAGTGACACAGGCTTGTAATCCCACTAGTCAGGAGGCTGAGGCAGAAAGATCACAAGTTTAAGGGCAATTTAGTAGACTTTGTCTCAAAATTTAAAAGGGGTAGGGGATAGGCATGACTCAGAGTATTTTGGGCTCAATCTCCAGTACTATAAAATTAACCAACAAACTGCAATAATCCAGTCCGGGCCAGCAGGGCACAGGTGGGGTTGTTTTTTTTTATTCTTGGGTACATGGTGGCTTCCTACAAGTCTGGGGGACAGGGTATCTTGAAACCCTCGTGAAAGAGTCCACAGGGGCCCTCGAGCCCCGCCCCCGTGCCTCTGTTTCCCTGAGAGTGGATGGGAGGGCAGCTGTTCAGCTGGGGTTGGGATTGGGGGCGGCAGTGGGCTTATGCCACTGCTCCTACAAAGGGGAGAAGTCCCTCTTGCTCCTGGGTTCGAGGTCAGGACTGAGGTTGCTGATGAGGATATGGATAACCCAGCACCATCTCATCTTTTTTTTTTTTTTTTTAATGTCATGAGGGTAGAACAAAAAACAAACCATTTCAAAATGAACAATTTGGTGGCATTAGTTAATATTCACAGTGTTGTTATTGCAGCCGCCACCACCAGCTGTTTCCAAAACATCTTTCCATTGAAATCGTTTTTCCTACTAGGTTTTGATTTTTGAAACACGGTCTCCCTCTGTAGTTCAGGCCGGCCTTGAATTCACTGTGTGGCCCAGGCTGCCCTGGGTTAGCCATGTCCCTGCCGTGGCCTCCTGAATGCTGGGGTTGTAGGTCTACACCACTACACCTGGCTCAAGCCAATAGTATTTTTACTTTTTTTTTTTTTTGCCAGCTCAGCCCACCCTGAAGATGGGGTTGGCACTGCATGTGGTGCCAGGGATTGAACCACGGTCCCCTGCACCTGACTAAGCTTGCCTAAGCGGGCACTTTAGACTGCTGAGCTATCTCACCAGCCCTTGCTTTTTGTTTTTATATATTTATTTAACTTGAGACACTAACTTGCCCTGGCTGGCCTAGAACTTGCAAGCCTCCTGCCTCTGCCTCCCCAGTAGTTGGTATTACATGGGTCACCCTGCTGGGCTGGCTCCAAAACATTTTTATTCACCCTAAACAAAAGCCTAGTCCCAGGAAGCAGCTGCTGCATACCCCCTGCCCCATGCTGAGTGTGTTATGCCTGCTCTTCTGTCTTCCCCTCTGCTCTAGGCCCAGTGAGCCAGGGAAGGGTACAACTGAAGCCCCACCAGAGGACCCATCTCTGTGCAAGCCAGAGATGTTTGAGAACCCGCTATATGGCTCTGTGAGCGCCTTCCCCAAGGTGGTCCCCAGGAAAGAGCAAGAGTCCCCAAAGATACTGCGGAAGGAGCCCCCACCCTGCCCGGAGCCAGGGGCATTGGTGCCCAGCAGCCTGCTCTCCAAACCCCAGGAGGCCGAGGGCAGCAAGGGGACAAGCAAGCTGGCACCCACTCCCTTCCTCAGCCCTGTGCCCCGACTCCGCTCCTTCACCTGCTCGGCCTCCTCCGAGGGCAGGGCCACCAGCGGGGACAGGTGCCAGGGCAAGCCCAAGGCTCCAGCTGTTTCCCAGGCCCCAGTGCCGAGCAAGAGGCCCATCAAGCCCTCCCGGTCGGAGGTAAGCCAGCAGCCCACACCCACGCCCGCACCCCGGCCACCCCTGCCAGCCAAGAGTCCAGCTGTGCTGCAGCTGCAGTATGCCAAGAGCCGCGACTACCGCGACAACTCCGAGCTCCCGCACCACAGCAAGCACCGGCCAGAGGATGGGCTGCTGGGCAGGACGGCCATGCAGGTGAGCTCAGCCCCGATGCATGTGAGCACATCTGTGCGTGTGCGCACCTTTGTGCCTGCGCTCCTAACCCAGCACTGCCTCTGCAGTGATGGCTGAAAGGGACCAGAACAGGCTGTTCATGAACCCCAGCCCCATGTCAGGCTTAAAGGAACATAAAGAGGAGTGTGCACTGCTTGCAGGTCATTCTTACCCTTCCTGTTAGCACATGTGTTGAAAATATCCCGGACGTAGAGACTTCAGACGCAGTATTGCTTGCTTCCTTGCTTTCATCCTCCCTTCCTTTTTTCCTTATAAAATAGATTTCTTTTGGAGTAAAACCACATGGGTCCGAGCAGATGGAGAGTGTGCACAGGCATAGCACGTGCAAGTCTCTTGAATTCCATCCCCAGCACCAACAAATAAGCAAGCTAATTAAGTAATTTAAAAGCCAGAGTTGGGGGGCTTTAGAGATAGCTCAGTGGTCTAAGTGCCTGCCCGGCAGGCGCAAGGACCCAGATTCAATCCTGGTACCACATGATGTGCCAGCTCCGCCTTGGGCACAGAAGCTGGCCACCAAGACCAGACGTGGTGGCACACGCCCATATTCCCAGCCCTGGGGAGCTGAAACGGGAGGATCACTACCAGTCTGAGCTGTGTAGCGAGACCCGGTGCAAGTGTATAAAATTAAAATAGAGTTGGGAACCAGTGTATTAGATCTGAATCCTAACTCTTATTTTCTGACTTTGTGCCGAGAGGCTGTTTACTCATCTGTGGAAATGGGCCTATTAATAGTATCTGGTTTATAGATTTATAGGGAAAATTGAACTATGCTTTGTGGTACTGTGTATTATTACTCTGGGTTTTTTTTTTTTATTAGTTTTTTTGTTTGTTTGTTTGTTTGTTTGTTTGTTTTTGAGACAGGGTCTTACTCTGCTGGTCTTGAACTCCCTACATAGCCCAGACTGGCCTTGAACTCTCAGCATCTTTTCACCTCAGCCTCCCAAGTACTGGGATTATATAATACATGTTTATGAGAATAAGAGGCCTGGTCAAAATTATGGTGAATTCTTAAATTATTACAATACAAGACGCACTGTCATTAATGCCCCTCAAAATACATCCTCTTGGGGCCAGGGAGATGGCTCAGTGGAATAAGCGCTTCCCTAGCAAGCGTAAGAGTCTTGAGTTCAATCCCCGGTTCCGCCAGAAAAAAAAAAAATCCTCTTGTCCGAGCACTTGGGAGGCTGAGGCAGGAGGATTGTTGTGAGTTTAAGGCCAGCCTGAGCTATAAAGTGAGCTCAAGACCAACCTGAACTGCATAGTAAGACCTTGTCTCAAAAAAAAAAAAGAAAGAAAGCCTCTTGCTCTGACCAAGTTTGGCTTTGCAAAGTGTGATCAGAAATATGGTAAATGCTGCTTCCAAGAACCATCCAAGAAAGGTAGGTCCCTACAACCATGACACAGGGGCCTTCATCTCATTTGCCAGGTCTGGCACTGTGCGATTCCTGTCTCTTCCCCAAAGTCAGAATGACCATGAAAGGTCAACATTCTGAGGAGGCAGCCAGGACAGAGCAACTGAAGACCCTCACAGACACACTGTAGTTCTCAGTCCCGCCGCATTCGCAGTAGTTCTTGATCTCTCCACATTTGCTGTAGTTCTCGGTCCCTCCACGTGTGTTGAAGGCTCCACAGGGCACGCAGGTCCTCTCCATGCCACAGGAAACTGGCCAGGTGCACGGCACGTAGTGTCCCAGGGCCATCGGGTCAGACGAGCCCCTGACAGCCCTTCCTTTCTCATCCAGCAGTGACGCCCTTGGTGACTTGTCCGTGACAGGAGCCGAGGAGCAGCAGAAGCCTTTCCCAGGACCTCCTTCGGGTCCCCCTACCTCGCTTCCTGTGCAAAGCTTTGTATTTTTTGGGAAAGGGCCTCACTTCGTTGTGGCCTGCGGAGTGTGTGGACTTTGACTCCGGGAAGCAGTTTCTGCGGTCTGAAGGAAGACGCACACCGGATGCCAGCCGCACCCCTGGGTCCCCAGGGCAGCCTTGGTACTTGGGACCCCAGGGTCTTGTTCGGGTCGCCATTTTGAGGAATGGCACTGAAGTGCCAACTTAGGAGTGAATTTTTATAAATAATAATAATATTAATAATAATAGTGGCCATGTGGGCAGAGGAGCCGGCCTGTGCCTCACGCACCACTAGGTGCTCTAGGGACACTGTGGGCACAGCATCCAGGCTGAGGCTCAGCCACGCAGGACCATGCACCCAGGCCCGTGTATCCTGAGGGTTTGGGCAAAGCATTAAGCAGGCTGGTGGATCCGGGAGCAAGACTTGGTGGAGGGGATGTGGAGAGTGTGAGTGACTCATTCAGAGCACCAGGCTCCAGCCCTGGCCAGCTTCTGTGGTTCACGCTACAAGGTCGGGGTCCCATGCACATGCGTGGGGAGCGGGGACCTGCCTGAGCAGGAGCAGGAAAGTCTGTGGATCTAGCTGGGAGGTCTGGCCTCACTGAGTCCACATGCCGGGTGCCGTGGCTTGCAGCCCTGAGTCCTTGGTGTCTAGGAGAGTAGATTGTTGGTGTCTTTTCTTGTGTTGCTTCTCGACCTCGATGTGTGAGAAGGAGGCAGGGGGCATGTGCCCAAGTGCCCGCTGTCAAGTCTCTGTGACCAATAAACTGTGCCTTTCTCTCTTGGCTATGTGGCTTTTCCCCCCATAACACAAGGAGCTCTGGGTCCCTTTCTGCTTTGCAGCAGGATGGACAGGGCTATTGATGGGAGCCTGGTAAGTTAAGCACTGACAGGAACAAGGCTAAGAGTCACTTCCTCCATACAAGTACCCTGCAGCCACCAGCATCCAGAAATGTCCCTGATACCTGTGGTCCTGCAATGCCCAAATTCCTCCAGGCTTTTAGAGGTTTTATTATTTAATTAAATTAATTAATTTATTTTTGCGGAGCTGGGGATTGAACTCAGGCCCTTGCGCTTGCCAGGGAAGCACTTATTCCACTGATCCATCTCCCCGGCCCCCAAGGTTTTATTTTTTTATTTTAATTTTTTTTTTTTAATGGTTTCACTATGCAGTTCAGAATGGCTTTGAACTCATTTATCCTGCTTCAGCCTCCCAAGTGGGGGGATTACAGGTACGTACCACCATGCCCAGCACCCTGAGCTTTTAAGCCAGGAGTGGTGGTGCACACCTGTAATTCCAGCACTTGGGAGCCTGAGGAAGGAGGATCATCCCAAATTTGAGGCCAATCAGGGTTATGCAGTTTGAGGCCAGCCTGGACTATATAGTGAAATCCTGTCTCAAGAAAATGCAAATGGTGTTGATCGATCCATCTCTAGAGAGAATCATTCTGTGTTACCCATGCTTGGGCACTGAGCTCATGGGTCAGGAACCCAGTGCTAGGACTGCCTGGTGCTGCTTGCAGGGTGTGGCACCAAGAATGGCAGCCTAGCACGGCAGCCTAGCACTGCCATTCTTGCCACCTCAGGCTGCTCAGTGGTAGCCACAGAGCCAACTGTCCCCTGCCAGCCCCAGTGGCCCATGAGGACACATGGAGCAGGACTGAGAGCCCACCAAAAGCTTGGCTCCTCCCTTTGCAAGTAGAAGCACCCTTTGGAGCCAGTATCCTGATCCCACAAGGAATCGGACCCAGTAGAACAAGGGCTAGGGTGGAGGCCACCTGGGGCCCCCCGGGATCAAGGCACTGATTGCTGTGGCCCCCAAGACACCTTTGCTGCCAGGCTGCCACCCACAGGTTGAGCACATGCCTGTTGTCCCGTCACCCTCACTGAGCTCTAGTCACCTGAGCAGTCACAGTGTCCTTGTCCCTGTGTCCCCACCATCCAAGATAGGCTGTGAGACTGGACTGTGCATATGCATGTACAACCAGGGTCCCCTGATGCCAGAACTAGAAACACCACAATAGAAGTTTTGTCTTGTCCTCAACCCTGGGCGAGGTCCCTTAGCAGCTTCCCAGTTCTAGGCCACCCTTGTCCCCTGAACCCGCTCTGAACAGCTTCTTTGTTGCCACCTTCCCCAAGTGCCCAGGTCGCCGTACTCCACCAGTCCTAGCCACTCCCTGATCCCTGACTCTCCTCCCAGGGCCCTGAGATGAATCCTCCACCACTCCTTCTCAGGGACTGCAGCCATGGTCATTTGCAGGAAAGAAGTTTCCCTCTGTGATTCCCTATGGCTGGGTGCAAGCCCCAGACTCCTACACCCAGACAGCGCTGCTATCACAAGGCTGCCATGCCGCTCCATGCCCCGTGGCTGGGAGGGTGGCTGCCGCCACTCCAGGCACCTGAAGGACAGACGGCCCTGCCAGCTCCTCCTTCCCCCAGGCTCCCACCCTGCAAGCAGAAATCTAGGCAGTCATTCAGTAAAGCTCTCCCACTGCTCCTTCCTTAACCCCAGCCTAGCAGGTTCTGTCTTGGCATGGCCCTAAAATAGCTCCTTTCTCTCCACAAACTGATTTCCATGGAGACATGGCTGTGGAGAGGCTCCCAAGCTTTCTGCGTAGCAACCGCCCGCTCACCGCCTGGCCACTGCTGCTCCAGCGCCTCCAGCCGGGAGCCCCATTGTGCCCATAGACACCCTGCATGGCTCGTGCTCTCAGAGGCCAGCTACAGCCTGGCTGGGTTCTGACCCACGCTGCTGTGGGTTGGCCTCAGCTCAAGCTGGACCTGACCACTGGCCAGGTATGCGCGGCTCATGACTCCCTGAATTGATCAACCATAAATGCATTCACAGCATGCATGGGGCGGGCTGAGGCTGTGGCCTTCAATCAAATAGAATAAATGTCCTTAATACCCTGAAAACACAGTCTTCTGCTATAGAGAGTGCTTTCTGGTCCTCATCTTGGTCTGGGAAGTTTATATTTGTAATCCCATCGATAAATTATTGGAATCCCATCAAGTTAACTCCAATCTATAACTTCCACTGCAACCCACAGCAAAAATAAAGACACTAAGGCATGTTTATAGTTACAGGGAGCCCAGGGGCCCTAAGCCCAGCCATGGTGATGGTTATCCAGAACAACAGCCTCAGCCCAGGGCTGAACCCGGGTTGTATTCAGTCATGAAGGAGGAGTGGCTTGAGGATGAGTGACTGAGCATGGCAGGAAGTAGGTGAGCGCTGTGAGCTGGGCTGGGGAGGAGGCCTGCAGTCACCTCTGCGGTATGCAGAAGGGTATGCAGAGTCGTCTGCATTGCACAACTGAGATAGTATCTAATGTTTCAGGGTCCGGTGCTTCAGCTCTGATGTGTAGTCTTTCAAGCCCCAGGAAGTGGCCTCTATCTTTATTTATTTATTTTTTGTGGAACTGGGGATTGAACTCAGGTCCTTGCACTTGCCAGGGAAGCGCTTATTCTACTGAGCCATCTCCCCGGTCCCTCTTTTTTTTTTTTTTTAATAATGATTTATTTTTATTTTTTTAGGGAAGGGTCTACATGGTGTTCAGGGTCTCATTACTACATCAGACTTGTAGTGATCCACCTGTTTACAGCCTCCCAAGAGCTGGGATTACAGGTGGGCGCCACCATGCCCAGTCTATAGCCTCTATCCTGGGGGCTGGGGAGATAGCTCAGTGGAATAAGCGCTTCCTTGGCAAGTACAAGGGCCTGAGTTCATTTCCCGGTTTCAAAAAAAAGTTAAAAAAAAAAATATATAGCCTCTGTCTTGGGGCTCGATCCCAGCTGACCGCATTGGCTCTTCATCCTGTCTCGACCTGGTTCATATTAGAGAGCAGCAGGTGGGGATTCTGGGTAAACACCTGCTGTCTTCAAAGACTACTCCCAGCACCCCACTGGATCCATATGCACTGCTTAAAGCCAATTAAAGGGGCTGGTGAGATGGCTCAGTGGTCTAAAGCACCTACTTAGAACATGCTTAGCAAAGCACAGGGACCACAGTTCAATCCCCCAGCACCACATGCCAGCCAGCCCCGCCCCCTGGTGGGCTGAGCTGGCCACACACACACACACAAATAAATAAAATTTTAAAAAAATAAAGCCAATTAAAGGGATAAGGCAAAGTCCTGGCCAGCTCTGTACATATCAATACAGAGCTGGTGACAGCCCCATCCTCTGATGCAAGGGAAGGAGGGCTCAATCTCCAATGGAAATAGGGTTAGGCACAGCCAACATGGAGACAACTCTTTCAAGGAGATTCCCTCAGGTGGCCCTCCACATTCTGCAGTTTACTTGACCTTTCTGAGTTTGTTTTGAGACAGGGTCTTGCCGTGTAGCCCAGGCTGTCCTCTTTGCAACGATCCTCCTGCCTCAGCTACCTGGAGTGCTGGGATTATGGGCATGTGCCTCCACGCCTGGCATCTGAGCCTCGGTCTTCTTGTCTGTAAAGTGGGGGCATGACCTGTGGTCATGGTTCCATCAGTTCCTGTTTGCAAGGCCCAAGCTCAGGGCAGTGGGGGAGGCCCCAAAGCAGGGCCTCAGGAACCATAGAGTGTCCCTGCCCTAAGCAGGCCCTGACCCTGAGGTGCGGGCAGGAGCAAGACACAGTCAACCTGCAGGAAACCCACACAGCAAGCTGAACCTGTGGAAACATTGACAACAGGGTGCTCTTGGGGCCAGGGGACAGGAGGAAGCCAGGGAGGTTAGTAGAAGCCACATGGTTGGGTGAGGTCAGGGAGGAAACAGTTGAGTTAGGAGCACTCAATGGGTTGCAGCCGACCTGCGGACACAAGGGAAGGAGGGCTCAATCTCCAGTACTCAGAGAGCGGGAGAGAAGCCGTGGTTCCTAAACAGCTAGTTTTAACCCATCTGATAACAAAGTTCACTGTGCCTTGTGGAAAGGTAACCCACTGTTAACCCACTGGTTATTTTCTATCGCTCTGTCTCCCTATCCACACCACTTAAGGAAAGTGACTTTCAAACAGCCAATCGTCTTTTTGTTCTCCATTCAGCTTTTCTCAGCCCTTCTCTGACTACAAAGCCAAGCTCAGCACAGCACTCCTGTGTCATGGGGCGAAGCGTTGCCCGATTCCAGAGTCACCAAACAAAGCTGGTTAAGATCTTCCAGGCATGTTGCTGGGGCAGCCCCAACCTCCTTACAGAGATGAAAAGACCTGCTAGTGTAACCCCAGCACTCGGGAAGCTGAGGCAGGAGGAATGCAAACGCCAGACCCAGCCCAGGCAATTTGGAGAGACTGTCTCAAAAGAAAAAAGGGGGGTAGCAGGGGATATAGCTCAATGTAAATGCCCCTTCGCAAACAAAAACCTATTAGTGCTAAGAAACTCAGGTGCACACCTAAACTCTCAAGAAACGCCTGTTGCCATCTCATGAGCTCTCACAGGTGTGGCCTGGTTCTTCGCATGCTCGCCACAGCCTGCATGGCTCCTGAGGCCACAGCAATCTGTGCTGCTATGGGCTTTCCCTGAGACTCCTTCCCGCTATGGCCAAGTCGCCTCTGACGGCCCTGCACACCGTGGCTGGCAGCGCATCTCCCTCTTTCTCCCATCCTCAAGCCATGGGCATCCTGCCTGACTGCAGATGAGCAGGACCAAGCAACAGCAGGCCTAGTCCGAGCAGGCTCTGTACTACAGGCTCACTGCAAGGCACTAGCCTGCCTAGAAGGAAAAGAGGCTGCCCAGGGAGCAGGGGGCTGTGGCAGTCTTGGGGCTGGGACTGCCCATGCACTGCCTGGTAGCATCCTGGCCTC